GGATTGGAAGTCTAATCTCTCTAGCCTACAGAATGGTCAGTTGGAAGTCTAATCTCTCTCACTGACTATAGGATCCGTTTGTTTTTGGTTATAGGAGATGAGATTGGATTAGGATGGATGTGGGGTTCACTAATATTGTGTTTGTTTACAAAATTGGAAAGAAAATTCACAATACCTTGGGACTATGATAGGCCTCCATGGATGGGATTAGTAGTCTCCCATGAGAAATGATATTAGAAAAACAATCCCTTGGGATTCGAGGGAGATTTACTATTTTACCCTCTATTATCCTACTTAATTTACTTACTTTACTTGATTGGTATGGTCTTTTCTAAGAAAGATTTTTTTTTTTTTAATTATTCCACATTTTTTTACTACACCATTCTTTCTATCAAAATAATTCAATATAAAAATAATTTTTAATATAAAAATATAATAATATTTATATTAAAACAATAAAATAGTACCAAAAATATATATATTTATGAAATATAATTTTTAATATTAAAATATAATTTTTTAGAAATTTGAATAGGAAAATAAAGTATAAAATATAAATAAATTTTTCTTTATTTATAAACTTAAAAAAAATAATTTCCATTTTAATCATAATTTTTTTTAATAATTTTTTTTATTTTAAATTTGATAGGCATTACCTTATTGATTTGGAAAATATTATAAGTCTCAAATTTTCTACCAAAAAAATAATCAAATGTCTCACATGAATGTAGGGTCCCCAAAATATGAACCCCACACCTATGTGAGACATTTAATCATTTATTTAGTAAAAAATCTGATATTTCTAACATTACCCTATTAATTTAGTAATTGACAAACCAAAATGGCAAACAATGATAAGAAATTGTCATCTCTATTTAATGCTCTAACCTACTCTGCTACAAACAAACTTTGTGTACTTATATAAAAAAGATGTGAAATGGTCATCTCCACACAACACTTTGCCACCAGTTCCTCCATCTTCTTCTGGAAGCTTATTGCCTTCTTTAAAACAAGTTTTTGGAACTTTGGTCTCTTTTTGAACCATTTTTCTTCCTTTCTTTTATTACACCTCTACTTACCATTTCAAAGGAGTTAAAGCTGCAGATTCCATTTCAGAGAGAAGGATTTTAAAGCTCCTGCAATGTGGGGACATAATTTTTGAATGACAACACGTGGCCGAGGTGTCATCGAAGTGTCAGCCGAGGTGCCACATGTCCTGGTCATGGCGCCGAGGTAATCTCGGCTAGGCCGAGGTTATCTGCGAGAATACCGGAATCCGAGATAAGCGGATAAGGGACAAGAGTCCTAGAATGAGAGAAGACTTCAGGTTGGGTAAAGATAAGACTCTTAGAGGGTTTATCCTAATCCTACTGGGAGTCCAAGATTAGCAGTAATCCTAAGTCCATTAGAGCTAGACTTCTATTGGGACTATGATTGAGTTTGCTATAAAAGAGAGGCACCCACATGAGTCTAAGGCATGCTTTTGATATTCTGTCTAGTAAGTTAAGCACTATTGGTTATCTTTGAGAGATATTGAGTACTGACTTGATCGTCGGAGTGCCCCCGGGTGGACGAGCCACCGTCGGAAACTCTTCTTTCTGTTGCAGGTCGTTCGGGCTTAATCTATTATGCCGGTGTTCTCCAATCGAGTACTAAGTTGGCAGTGTGGTCGGAAATTGACACACACAATTTGGCGCCGTCTGTGGGAACGAAAGAAGAATAGATGGCCAACGACAGACCAAAAGAGAAGGTTGGGGACGACACCCCTACTGAGAGTGGGAAACATATTGACCTTGGCGTCGAAGAAGACAACTACAATGAAGAAACTCGTGATAAGAATCACGGAGAAGAGGACGTCGATCAGGAGGGCGACGTGCCGAAGAAATCAGACCGAAGCGAGTATTATAACGAGGACGACCTCCAGGTATGGAAAGAAAGATGCTTACGAAGGGACGACGAGATGAAAGGAATGGCGAACAAATTGGCGGACCTGCAAACGGATGTCACTTTCATGATACAGAACAACGTCATACAGCCACCGTTCCCATCACAAGATACGCCGATTCCAACAGCCAAGAAAGATGCCCAAGCAGGGGGCAAAAGACAACTCCTACGACTCCTCAGCACGATAGGACCAAAGAACATTCTCACCGGCCTTCAAGGGAGGTCGGACGAGGAGTATTAAGAAGGGGAGATTCACAGAGGACACATCGCACCAAGGAAGCTGACTCCAAAGAACATCGGCATATTTAGGGGAAGGACCTCTGTTTCGACGCGACCAATGGAGGGAGGTCCAAAAAGACTCACAATGACACAGGAAGTAGTGCACCAAAGAGGCTGAAATCCAGAGATAGCCGAGCTCCTGGACGAATCAAGGAGGATCTAAGGGATTACCTCTAGAGAAAGCGACAAGATGCCGAGGTGACCTCACCTGTCAAGCCGAGATAACACTGCATATGAGAAGACAAGAGCTCAGCCCAAGTAAGCCGATCCCGGATTCCAGATCTCGGATCCTAGATCCCAGAAGACAAGATTTCGGCCGAAGATGATTAAGTCTGAGAAGAGAGGAGTTTACTGAAATGACATTTAACACTTGTTGAAACATGAGAAAAGTTTACAAGTTGAAGTTAAATCGAGATGATGTTTAACACTTGTTGAAACTTGAGAAAAGTTTACAAGTTGAAGTTAAACCGAGATGATGTTTAACACTTGTTGAAACATTAGAAAAGTTTACAAGTTGAAGTTAAATCGAGATGATGTTTAACACTTGTTGAAACTGGAGAAAAGTTTACAAGTTGAAGTTAAACCGAGATGATGTTTAACACTTGTTGAAACTCGAGAAAAGTTTACAAGTTGAAGTTGAAGTTAGACAGAGATTATGTTTAACACTTGTTGAAACTTGAGAAAAGTTTACAAGTTGAAGTTAAACCGAGATGATGTTTAACACTTGTTGAAACTTAAGAAAAGTTTACAAGTTAAAGTTAAACCGAGATGATGTTTAATAATTGTTGAAACTTGAGAACGGTTTACAAGTTGAAGTTAAACCGAGATTATGTTTAACACTTGTTGAAACTTGAAAAAAGTTTACAAGTTGAAGTTAAACCGAGATGATGTTTAACACTTGTTGAAACTTGAGAAAAGTTTACAAGTTGAAGTTAAACCGAGATTATGTTTATCATTTGTTGAAACTTGAGAAAAGTTTACAAGTTGAAGTTAAACTGAGATGATGTTTAACAATTGTTGAAACTTGAGAACGGTTTACAAGTTGAAGTTAAACCGAGATTATGTTTAACACTTGTTGAAACTTGAGAAAAGTTTACAAGTTGAAGTTAAACTGGGGTCATGATTAAAGGAAGGAATGATATAGGTTCCATCACCTCAGGATGCCAAGGTAATAGAACCTAGGGGACAGTTGTGAGGACATAATTTTTGAATGACAACACGTGGCCGAGGAGTCACCGAAGTGCCAGCTGAGGTGCCACGTGTCCTGGTCATGACGCCGAGGTAATCTCGGCTAGGCCGAGGTTATCTGCGAGAACATCGAAATCCGAGATAAGCGGATAAGGGACAAGAGTCCTAGAATGGGAGATGACTTCAGTTTGGGTAAAGATAAGACTCTTAGAGGGTTTATTATAATCCTACTGGGAGTCCAAGATTAGCAGTAATCCTAAATCCATTAGAGCTAGGCTTCTATTGGGACTAGGATTGAGTTTGCTATAGAAGAGAGGCACCCCAATGGGTCCAAGGTATGCTTTTGATATTCTGTCTAGTGAGTTAAGCACTATTGGCTATCTTTGAGAGATATTGAGTACTGACTTGATCGTCGAAGTGCTCCCGGGTGGACGAGCCACCACCGGAAACTCTTCTTTCTGTTGCAGGTCGTTCGGGCTGAATCTATTCTACCGGTGTTCTCCAGTTGAGTACTAAGTTGGCAGTGTGGTCGGAAATTGACACACACATGCAACTACTTGCAAAAATTTAAAGGTATATTAGAAAAATCAAGCAAATATGTGTTTTAATTCTTTCTCTTACTTAATTTTTTCCCCTCAAGTTTAATAACACCAAGGAAGTATTGTTACTTTGATTTCACATAACTTTCATATAATAATCATAAAGGCTCCGTTTGTTTGAATTTTTGAAAATTTGTTTTTATTTTTCAGTTAATTTCACAAAAAATTTAACCCAAAAAAATTAATGTCATCTTGAAAAAATTAATTTCATATAACAATCATAAAGGCTTTGTTACTCTATTTTTTTTGTACATACACATGCTCCTATAGGTATAAATAATGTCATCCTCAAAATCTACTAGCAAGGAAAAGCAGATGGGAAAAGGAAATTCTATAGTACTACATCCAACGAAACCTCAAGGAATTGAGTTTGATGATAAACCATTGTGGAATCTTGTTAAGGTTCTTAGTATACCAGTAGGTGAAGGTGGAAATAGATGTTGGTCCTGCAACTATTGCAATAAGAAAGTAACAGGTTCATATTCAAAAGTCAAGGCTCATTTGTTGAAGTTTCCTATCTTTGGAGTGGAAGCCTGCAAAGCCATAAAGGATGATGTTTTTGAAACACTCAAAAAGGAGCATGAAGTGGCAAAAAAAAAAAGCAGATTATGTGTCTCTACCTGAAGGATCAGACTTGCTTCAAAACAAAAAAAGAAAGGGTTCAATTACAGGACCCTTGGCAGCTGTATTTAATGTGGTAGAAAAAGACATTGTTGATAAACAAACTGCTCGTATGTTCTATGCCTCTGCTCTGTCATTCAATTTAGCAAGGTGTCCTTATTTTAGAAAATATTCACAGACCTTGGCAAACAGAAACTATCTGGTTATTCTCCCCTAAATTATGATAGGTTGCAGACAACATTGCTTGGACAAGAAAAGGCACATGTAAATAGAAAGCTTCAGCCCATAAAAGATTCATGGAAAAAGAAAGGAGTATCAATATGTTCTGATGGATGGTCAGATAGATAGAAAAGGCCGCTTATAAACATAATGGCAGCATCTGTTGGTGGAGCAATGTTTGTGAAAGCAATTGATGCAAGTGGAAATATAAAATATGCAAATTATGTTGCAAACATATTTCTATTAGTGATTGAAGAAATTAGGAAGGAGAATATTGTTCAAATTGTTACAAATAATGGACCAAATTTTAAGGCTGCTGAGTTGACAATTGAAAATAAGCATCCTCACATTTTCTGGACACCATGTGTAGTGCATAGTCTAAATTTGGCATTAAAGAGTATGTGTGAACCCCCCCTAAAGTTCATCTCAACATTCTGCATGTAAATGGATAGCCAACTTGGTCACTGATCTTCATAATATAAGAAATTTCATAGTGAATCATAGCTTGCCAAATGCCATTTTCAAAAGTTACTCAAATTTGGAATTACTAAGGGTTGCAGAAACAAGGTTTGCATCACACATTGTCATGGCTAAACGTTTGAAGGAAGTAAAGCCAGTATTAGAGAAGATGGTGATGGATGTAGGATGAAAGATTTACGAAGGAGATGGAAAGAATTCAGTGGATGCTAAAGCTCATGAGGTGAAGCAACTCATAGTAATTGGTAGGATGACTTGGATTACCTTTTGAGTTTTACAGAGCCTATTGTTGACATGCTAAGGGCTGAAGACACTGATGCTCCTGTGTTACATTCTATATATGATATATAGGACACTATGATAGAAAATGTGAAAGCAATTATATTTGAGCATGAAGACAAAGATCATATCACAGGACAATCAGATTTCTTTGACGCGATTCATGAAATTTTAGAAGCTAGATGGACCAAAAGCAACACACTTCTACATTGCATAGCTCATTCATTGGTCCCTAAGTATTATCATGAGTCTTGGCTTCAAGGTGGAAGTAATGGCATTCAGCGATTAGCAACGCATGAAGATGAAGAAGTGTCTACTAATAGGAGCAAGTGTTTTGAGCGGTTGTTTCAAAACAATACAACTCATCTGCGAAATGTTTATGTTGAATATAGTGCCTTTTCAAGTGGATCCGTCTATTTCAATCAGCCACATGTTATTGAAGCAAGAATGTATGAGGAGCCAATTTCTTGGTGGGCTGATCATGGTGCTTCAACACCATTGTTGCAAGGGTTAGCATTTAAGTTGCTGTCACAACCAGCTTCTTCATTATGTTGTGAGAGAAATTGGAGCACCTATGGCCATATTCATAGCATCAAAAGAAATAGGTTGGCAAGTAGTAGAGTTGAAGATATGGTATTTGTACATTGCAACATAAGGATGTTATCAAGAAAGAAAAAAGAGTACAAGGAAGGGCCTTCAAAGTATTGGGATATATCTAAGTTTTCTAATTCATTAATCTTGTTCTGTTTCTTCTACTAATTAAACTTAAACATTGTTTTTTTTTTTTTTTTGTGGATTAGTTATTGACTTTTGCATGATTGTAGGTGGAGATAGGTTTGACATTAATGGATCTCCAATTGAGTTTGCAGAACTTTCCATCAATGAACCTGAGTTGGAGCTTGTGACTTTTGATGATGCAGTGGAGGATGTTCAGCCTGATGATGTTGGTCATGGTTAAGACTTAGATGCTTAAGTTTTGGACTAGCTTGATTTGATCTTTTGCATTTTCACATATTGATGTTTATGTAAAAGACTATAAACTCTTCTTCTTTGTTTTTTCTTTTTTTGACATTTTGTGGTGTGGTGGAGATGATCAGTCAACTATTGACATACAAAACTTATCATTTTTGTAAATCTAAATTTGATCATCTCAATCAACTTGAAGGTAGTTTTTTTTGTCATAATGTTTATATTTGTATGCAAGGAAGGCTTTGTTTATGGGACACAATCAGAGATATTTGTGGGAATTATGTTGTGAATCAATGTGTTGGTATAGTTGCTGGCAAGTTTAAGGCTAAAGCATTGAAGAGCTTAGAAGCTGAACATCATTGGATGATCAATCTCCTTGTCAGTTTCAAGGATTCAATAGTTTGAGTAAGGATTTTACTAAGGAGCTTTGACATCATTCACAATTTGAATTTATAATATGCTATGCTGCAATTATAATGATATAGAATATTATAAGTGTGGTCAAAGTCATACACATTTTAAACTTGATCAAGTAAGCATCCATATCCTTTCCTTGTCTTTTTTTGCTTAATTTATATTTTATACATAATGACTTTTTTATTTATTGCCTAAAAACTTATGGTGATAATTATGCAGCTAAAATGGTGAAAGAACATGTGAATTGTGGGAGGTTGGAAGCACTAATCAATCAGGTATGTGCCTAGGTCCTACATTCATTTCATAATAAATTACTTTTTTTTTTCTTCTATGTATTTTTTTAGACTTTAATAATCTGGTTATTGATCATCATGATGCATAGATTATGTAGTTAGTTAGTACAATATAAAAATTCTACTAATATTTTATATGTCGTGTCCCCGTATTCGTATCTACTTTTTGGGTACTTTTTAGCTGAGTCCTCGTATCCTTATTTTCACAAATAGGCGAATCTGACACCTAGACACATACCCGTATCCGACACCAGCACTTGAGTCCGTGTAACTTAGGACTTTGGTAAATTTGACATGTAGGTTTTCAAGAGCAAAGAAGAATTGCTCAATTGGGTACATGACGTTGGAAGGAAAAATAGTTTTGTGATTGTCATCAAGACATCAGATTATGGTGATGGTCATAGGACACCAAGGATATATCTTACCTGTGAGAGAAGTGGTCAATACAGAGCCCATAAGAAATTAAAAGGAGATGATTCAAACAAAACAATTGTGAAGTTAACGGGTACAAAGAAATGTGGGTGTCCCTTTGAGTTGAGGGCTCATAAGTTGATGGCAGATGATGATTGGATGCTAGATGTAGCATGTGGAATGCATAACCATGCTCCTGCTAAACATTTTGAAGGACATTCATTTGCAGAGAGATTATTTGAGGAGGAAATATCGTTATTAGTGGATATGTCCAAAAGCATGATCAGACCAAAAAAGATTTTGGTTACCTTGAAACAAAAGGATGCCTTGAATGCAACCACCACTACAACAAATTTGGGATTTAAAGACGAAACAAATTTGTCCCAAAATGTACACAATTCATCATCCAAACTAATTACGACGAAAAGTTTTCGTCACCCATTTTGTCGCCAAAGCATCGTCGCTAAAAGGTCTTAGAGACGAAAAAATAAATTCGTCATTGAAAAGGCTAAATTTGTGATGATTTTTTTTGTCTCCAATACACTCTGTTGAGAACATACTTGTAAGTAATTAGCGACAAAATATTTTGTCATTAAAGGAAGAAATTAGAGACAAAAGTATTTTGTCATAAATGTAAGAAATAGAGATGAAATAATTTTGTCGCGTTTAATATAAACGAAGACAAAAAAAAATTGTCAAAGAAGCTACCAACAGAGACAAAAACAAATTCATCATTAAAAATGATGAAATAATGTCAAAAACAACTCGTCACACATTGAGGGTAATAATGACAAAATGTGACAATATTTTTCGTCATGACAAATTCATTTAGCGATGAAATAAAGAATTCATGACAAAATTAGTCATCCACCTAAGCCAAATAAGGGACAAAAAAACCTTCTTTAGTGATGTTTTTTTCCACATTATATACCTATTTTATCAAAATTTGAATTTTAGTTCAACAAATATAATCCTGTTCAAGTTGAAACCTGTTTAATATAACAATTCCATCACAACTTAACCTAACCTGCTATCAACACATTTTACAAATTAACAAAATGAAAATATACATCATCATTATAAATAATTTCATTCTAATACAATAAAATAGTACAATATCCACAAAATATCCAAAAGTTATAACTAGTGCAATTCCACCAAACATCCAACAATTTCTAGTGCGACTCTACAAAGTATGTATATCCTTGTCAAACAAAAATGAACATTTAAGCAAATTACATCATTGTTGCACGTCAAAAATGCCACCCCAATTCAATCTGCAAAAAAATAAATTAAAAGTTTTAGTAACTAATTGTCACGACCCAAACCTGTCCCTATAGGTTTAGCATCGTAACCGGCCAGTAATTCTTGGACTACCGAAGGCCTCTGAACAGATTAACAAGATTAAGGAGCTAGCGGAAGCAAATACATAAATATATAGTTGTCCAATGAGCTATGCTGACTTATATGAACAGAATATTTAAAACTTTATATAAGTATGCAATAGTCATTCATACATTATACCCACACACATTAGGTATCTTAAGTACAGCCAACAAAATTACCAAGTCTTATATGTACAGAAACAACGAAACTTAAACACAGGACTCTTCGAAAACCTCTACATGAGGCACAATGGTTGGCTGACAACAGAACACAAATCCGAACAAAAGCCTTCAGGCTCGAACTCCAGAATGCCCATCTACATATATATATATATATATATACACACAGTGAGCTAAAGCCTAGTGAATAACATTAAGGTAAAGGGTTAGTGAACGAAATCCGAATATATCATAAGCAGAAAACAGACCAGAGCATAATCATTCTCATATCAGAACATAATAATGGTACATCCCATAGAACACATCACAGAACATCTTCCGACTAGAGTAATCAGTTCCGAATACCGATTAAACACATATCACCACAATGAAGTGGCTAATGAGATCTCATATCACATATGTGTTATGGACCCGCATTTACATGTCGTCCCCCATGACTTGGGACTATTTATGGATGCCATAATAGATTCGCAAATAGGACATTCGTTCACATAATTAAAATAATATTTCAGAAATTATAACTTATTACATAACAGTTGAAACATAGTTCATATTAACATATCTTTACATAAATGTTACTCACAGTGGTTCCCGTAAATGGTCAAACAATCCTCGAGTCTTAACCTACAATCACAAAATACATAACACAAGCATATCTTATTATTACACATTTATGTGGCCAACACGGCTTAGCTTTCATTATGTTGGTTTTTGTTCTTTCTTATCACATTGTCTAACACACACACACACTTGCAATTCCTTGACTTAGTACATTCTTGTCTTAATGTATTTCTAATCCATAACCTCATTATTATGGCTTAATTAAGGCTTAAGAATGCCTAAGATGCAATGAGGATGCCAAAACATGCCTTGGAACACTTAGAAAAAATGTCTGAAAATAAGGTCAACGCTTGAGCGTAGATTTCCTCACTCGAGCGGACATGCAAAATGTGAATGGTCGCTCGAGCGCACATTCCTTTGCTCGAGTGATCTGTAAAAGATATGAAACTTCTGGGAGTTTTCAATTCACGCTCGAGCGGACTTTTGGTCGCTCGAGCAGAGTGGACGCACTCAGATTGGTCGCTCGAGCGTGAACTCCCACGCTCGAGCGTAGATGCAAATTCTGGAATTTCCAAATTGTACCTTCAAGCTCAAAACTCGAATTCCAACCATCAAAACACATCTCTTGGGCCCCAAAACTTGAGATAACATAGTAAACTTGTAAAATATGAAGAATTTAGGATCATTTCATAAAATCATGGCCCAAGGGTTTGCCAAAAGTTCCCAATTTCAACTTAAAACATGATGAATGTTCATGAACACAACATGCATGAATTTTTCGTGTATCAAACTTCTCAAAATATGATCAAACACCGCAAAACAACTTAAAACTTGATGATTTTCCCAAATGAAGATGAATTTCAAACATACAAGAGAGAATTCTTGGAGTTCAAATCTTTATTCTGAGCTCAATATGCACATCAAACTCATAATCTTGAAGAAATTTCATGTTAAATGACTTAGTTACACAATCTAGAGGTTGTAATCTTACCTAGAGTCTTGAATTACTCTTGTTCTAGCACAAACTTTGATCAATTCAAACTATAGCCTTCAATTTCTCCTTAATCTCTTCTTTTCTCTCACTAGAATTGTGCTCCCTCTCTCTCTAAAATGTTTCACCAGATTTTTCCACTAAGGGAGATGAAAGAAAATGAGCTCAAATGAGCTTATGGGTTACATGTATAGCTATGGTGCTAAAAATACCTTAATTAGAACATAAGGCTTGCCAAATGCAACTTAACGAATCAGACTGAATCAATTTTTAATAAAACTTGCCATATGATTCTAAAAATTCCAAATAACATATCGGTGTAGTCAATTTTGGTTTCAGATGCCGATAAGGCTTTCAATTTACATATTAAAGTGGAATTCCAAACAGATATTTCTATAAGTAACAGATAAAAGGCCAAATATCATGCAATTTACATATTAATCCCATAATTCACTTGATCCACTCAATTAGCATCATTAATTATTTATTAGTACCTAATTACGGGCCGGGGTTATTACACTAATCAATTATACAAAAGATTAAAAACATTAGTAACTAATCAATTTATAATTAGATTAATTATACAATTTATCCCTCTAACAGACTTTTTTTCAAGATTATGGGAACAAAAAATTAATTTTAAGGCTAATTCACAATTGGTGCATCCCATTAATGTACTGTAAGTTCATACAACTTATATTGGCCCCTCCTAAGGTGTTTCTATTAGTTCCTATACAAATCTATGGTTATGTGATAATTTAGCTTTTCGACGGCCTTTTTTGAAGCTTTAAGTATGGAGAAAAAAGTATTTTTTAGACTAATTCACAATTTATACATCCCGTACACCTGTACAAATTGGATGTCCTATGCATGTTTCCATTACTTCCTAATTCTTCAAACGTATATTCTTTTACAAATTTTGTTGTATTAAAGTTAATATACTTTACCAAGAAGTATGTCCACTTGTGGATGAGTTCCCTCTATTTCCAAAGTGTCCAGTGAATCCTTTGCTCCTAAAAAAGTTGACGACATCTGCCATTATCTTCCCTTGCTTCTTCCTACCCTCTTCAGCATCTTCTATTTTATTGTTCTACATTTGTATTTGTTCCTTCTGTGTCTTTATTTGCATTTCAAGGCACTTCACATAATCATTTGTTTCAGCACATTTGGTAGTGGTCCTCCTAATAGAGGATGAAGGTCTCATGCCAAGTCCTTTCACATAGCCAGACCTTGGCTTTAGGACTTTGATTGATAGCTCTTCTGCAGTCAAAGGGATTAATCTTGGCTGTGAGAGGTGATCAGCTTGTGTCTGTATCATATTTTCCTATCAAATATTAAAAAATTAAATAATTATTAGAAAATTAAATAAGATTATGACAAATAGTATTCTAAAATTTTGTTAATAAAAATTGCAATATATACTCACATAATTATATTGAGCTTTAGACGAGATCCACTCATGTGTTTTTTTATTATAGTTAGTTTCCTTGTAAAACTCTGCTAAATCAGGTAGCATCTTCTTTTCTCGTGCCTAATTTGATAGTCTAAATATTCAATAAATAAAGCTAAGAATCTAACATAATTCGTAAAGTGCAAGGATACGTACCTATTTTTCTACTCCAACAAGAATTGACCTAGAACCACACCTATGTTTTGTATTCATCTTTTCTCTATTCGCGATGTGGGCTTTTGATTATTCCTATAAGGAAGAATGACCAATATAACAATGAAATGTATCATTAGTAAGACAAATATGTTGGCTTTTGATTGTTCCTGTAAGGAAGAATGAACTAATATAACAATGAAATGTATCATTAGTAAGACAAATATGTTGGCTTTTGATTGTTCCTGTAAGGAAGAATGAACTAATATAACAATGAAATGTATCATTAGTAAGACAAATATGTTGGCTTTTGATTGTTCCTGTAAGGAAGAATGAACTAATATAACAATGAAATGTATCATTAGTAAGACAAATATGTTGGCTTTTGATTGTTCCTGTAAGGAAGAATGAACTAATATAACAATGAAATGTATCATTAGTAAGACAAATATGTTGGCTTTTGATTGTTCCTGTAAGGAAGAATGAACTAATATAACAATGAAATGTATCATTAGTAAGACAAATATGTTGGCTTTTGATTGTTCCTGTAAGGAAGAATGAACTAATATAACAATGAAATGTATCATTAGTAAGACAAATATGTTGGCTTTTGATTGTTCCTGTAAGGAAGAATGAACTAATATAACAATGAAATGTATCATTAGTAAGACAAATATGTTGGCTTTTGATTGTTCCTGTAAGGAAGAATGAACTAATATAACAATGAAATGTATCATTAGTAAGACAAATATGTTGGCTTTTGATTGTTCCTGTAAGGAAGAATGAACTAATATAACAATGAAATGTATCATTAGTAAGACAAATATGTTGGCTTTTGATTGTTCCTGTAAGGAAGAATGAACTAATATAACAATGAAATGTATCATTAGTAAGACAAATATGTTGGCTTTTGATTGTTCCTGTAAGGAAGAATGAACTAATATAACAATGAAATGTATCATTAGTAAGACAAATATGTTGGCTTTTGATTGTTCCTGTAAGGAAGAATGAACTAATATAACAATGAAATGTATCATTAGTAAGACAAATATGTTGGCTTTTGATTGTTCCTGTAAGGAAGAATGAACTAATATAACAATGAAATGTATCATTACTAAGACAAATTTAACATGCCTAGAAGATAAAGGGAAAAGAATACATATGGAATTTCACAGCAAATTGATTGTGTTCTTTCTAGTTGTTTTAGAATCTCTCCCTATTCTAATCAAATTCTTTCTTCGCTAATATAATAAAAAAGATGAAAATGTTACCAGAAATTCTTTAGTGTTCCACTTTTTATCAATAAGATCTATCCACTTGGTAGGATCAACATCCTTCGGTGGATGGTTTCTTGCATACTCCTCCCCTTTAGCCTCCTTCTGCTCCATGAATTGTTTGTGCAGCCTATAGGTATGGTTACTCAATCTCCGACCAAACTTTGTGTTCATTGCCTTTTCTATATCAACAGGGTCTCATTGTAAATCAAATTGATCCTACAAAAAATAGATAAGTCATAGATAATTCCTTAAAAAAAAAATTACGATAAATAATTAAGATTTCTAACCTATTATAAAGATGAGTAAAATGTCTTATAACAGAGTAGACGGTGAACTTACATTCAAGCGTTGAAACATCGTTTCCTTAACGGAGGCATCAACATACTTCCACCTACGAACACTTGGATCTGGTAAACATGTTCGCACTTCTACACTAATCTTTGAGGCTAGTTTTGAGGCATAGTCCCCTATCGGTGCACGAAATTCTGGAGGAATAGACACGTTAAGCTTTCCATCTCTATCAACAAGGCCTTGAACCTCTTTGCCTCAAGTTGGGCCTCGAACATGCTTAGCAACTGATATTATGAAGCCATAATATTGAAATAGTATGTGAACAAATTTAATTAAGATCTCAAATCAATGTAAATAAAGAGTGTGTCTTACCAATAGTATTACCAGCAATCACCTCAACTTGAGGCTCTACATTGAGAGGTGGTGAGGGATGGCTACCCACCTCAGGATGTGAAGAGGTATCCCCCTCTTCTGATGCGTAGGTCAATGCCTCAAGATGAGATTGTGAATGGGCTCTCAATGGTATCTCTAACAGCTGAATAACATAATAAAATATGAATATATGTACAAAGATATACATGTATATGTGTAAATGAATTGAAAGTAACAAGAAAGAATATATTTCACAATGCATAAATGTATAGTACCTCATGCTCAAACGACTCATAGGATTAAGTGTCACTGCCATCTTCGGCCTCTGAAGGTCGATAATCATCGTCATTTTCCTTAATTGGTATTTATTTTTCCTTCCTCAATTTCTTATGTTGAGCCGTAGCCTTCAAACATGTTGTTATATTCTTCACTCCTAAAGCATTTATTCTCTCACGGTTTTTATTAATTGTCTTCATTCTTTGTTTCTCATAGTTTGTTACCT